GTCAGTGTATTTACCGGCACAACAACATGCATTATTGTGTTCCTCAAACAGCATTAGTTTCACAAATGTAGAGTGAGTCACACTGCTTTATAGTCTAAAGAGCAGCTTACACAATTCCATTAGCAAGAACATGTTGAGTGACTCCACACAAAGCCAGAGTGTGTTAGTGGTACCTGTATTAACCAGGTGAGTGAGAGCTGTGTTGCACAGTGTAATGAGCTGAACATCACGTCATCTGAGGGGAGAGTTAGCTTCACTATAATGAATCATCTGGTTGGAACTTCCTCAAAAGAACACTTATTGCCAAATGAAAGTGACAAAGGTGTTGGATGAAAGCTTAAAGTCAAAACAACCACTTAAACACTGAGTATTAAAAAAATATATGATATTTGTGACAGAAATGTATGTCTTATAAAAAATATATATATCAAGACTCTCACTGAAGATTATTAAATGACTACAATTTTGACTTTGACTTATACTCATGATATGGTAACACAATGGTTAAGTTTCTGCAGCTAAAATTACTTAGTCAAGGTAACCAAAGAAAGACATTGCTAAATACACTACATTACTCTACTTAGTTAAATTACTTACTTGATCAGCCTTGTGAAAAATTCCAAAAACCCAAAGACATTTTATTAACTGTCATACATAATAATAATAATAATGATCAATAATGTATTGATAAGAAACTTAAAAATACATGGCATTACAGCTATGATAGATACTCACTGTAATTGCACTTTTTTCACAAAAACGAAATGCAATCAATGTAGGACAACAATATACTGTATTTCAATTCATTATTCAAGTAATTCACAAACAACTCAAATGTCCAATAAAATCATCAGCCTTACAAAAAGTTGACACCTTAATTACAACACTCAAATAAACACCTGAATTATCTTTATTTGTCATGTATGGATATTATCAAAGTGGTTAGGGTTGAAGCTGTGGGAAAACATGTGGTAAAAAGAAAGAGTTGTGCATGATGTGAAGGGGAGGATTAGCTCCAGACGTCCCTCTGATAATAACAGTGACCTCATACCAATACGGTTTACACGCTGCAGCAGACTGTGTAATATTCAGCCCTGAGGTATCACAATCTGTCCTTGTGTCTTGCCCGAACATTGACTGAGATTACGTTAAACTGTAAGCTACTCTTTTTATGGAAAAGATCTCAAATTAATCAGTGGGCTTGTTGTCCCCTCTTAAGGCCGCGATAAGAAGGTTTTGGAGCATGGGGAGGGAAACATAAGAGGCTTTGGGGGCTGCTTTTATTAAAAGGATCTGACATCTACCTGCCCTCTCAAATGGCAGGCAATTTTGACATTTCTAGCACGCAAAGCAGCCACACAGAAATAATAATCACCACAACTGCTGGGCTGAGGGCCGGCTCTGATGGTGGAGGTAGTTTACCTTAAAGGACACTCTGAAAATATCTTAAATGAAATGCCTCTTCACAACAAATCACAGAGCAATTTATCTGGCAGCTTTAATGTCTTCACATGGGCTGATTTCTCTCTTCATCTTTTCATTTTCCTGTTGTCATATTCCACACGTATCATGTCGGAGACGGCTTGATGGACTCAATGTGTCGGAACGGCTTCTTCTCACACCCGTATCACTGCAGGACTCCCGCAGCACAGACAGTAAATACTAGGCCAGTTCTCACTGTGACGGTCAGTTGGAGATTCTTTTTATTTTCATACAGTTATCGTTTCCCATTCCCCCACTTGATTGGAGCTTAAAAGCCAAAGCAGCTCAGATCGTGCCAGCATAAATCTCCGGGCCCATTAATCCGCCCTGGTGTCGTCTCGCACACAGAACTGCCCAATCATGTCTGGATATTCGTGTGGAAATTAAATGAATGATACACCGAGGAAGCTCACCGGCACTGCAGATTGAATGTAAAAGTAGGTGGGGGGGCTTTGTGTGTATGTGCTTATTCTTATGTGTGCAGGATATGAATGAATTGCTTCTGTTCAGTTATGAGCATGTGAGGTCACATTCATAACGGCCTTTCTGCCTTTATTTCTGAGGATGAATTACTGGGTCTGAGTAACATAATGTTGAATGATACTTTAACAGGGCACTGACTGAATAATGCCTACAAATAGTTTAGAACCTTTGAAATGTTTAGAAATGTATTTCAACTATTCACAGGATATCAATATAAAAATATCAGTAAAATCTTATAATATTTCCCTGTGTCTAGTGTGGTGAGTCTTGACTTCAAATGTCCAATGAAAATAAATGCTAATCTAATACTTATACTTTATACAAATATAAATCTAAACATGCTAAACATTCTTACAGTAAAATACCTTCATCGTTTAGTGAAATACTGCTAATCCCCCCCATATTCAAAAGTACATACCTATATTAGTGGATGCAAGTATAAAAATACAATTTTAATTTGTGATTATTTCACTTAAATTAAATATATTTATTGAAGGGATGCAATTCAAACATGTACAGTAAAATAAATAGTTTTCCATATCACGTCAATAGGAATCATATTCTCCTGTTATATTTTGGGAGTTATTCTCTGGAGATTTGCGCATCGATCCCTTTTCTTCTACTCCAGACAGAACAAATATTTCCCCAAATTCTCACATAATCTAGAATGTATCAAACCACAAAGCAAAACGGCAATCTCTACAGTTCTCTCCAGTACGTCAAAAATAACTATATAATCATAAACCTTTTATTTGCATTAGTATCATCTAGGGAGGAATAAGACATTCACTAGCAGTTGGATTTACCTAATTTGCTCCTCTGCTGTATAAAATATGTGTTTTTCTTTATTCTTCTGAGAAGGATTTGTTTTGCGCCTTCTGTAACATAATTAAAAAATATCCTGTCTTCTTTTAATTTGGGACAATATTATATCTTCTAATAATCCTGCGACTTTAGTCTTCTTGATTTGATTTTTCGGTCATTGCTGATTTGATCTGCGGCAATTCTTCCAATCTCCTTTTGGAAGATAATATCAACTCTTAAGATGACTGATGCTTTAATCCGCAGCATTAATCTCAGACTCTCTTTCTTAAAGCCCCCGTCACACTGTCCTGAAATTGACACCAGATGGACACACGAATATGGAATTGTGAATTTCGCACGGAGATGGCCCCGAAGTTGGTCAACAGCCAAGCAACAACCGAAGCAAGTACGATGCCTACAGAAGGTCACACGATGGCACCCGAACCACACAGGAAAATATGGTCGTAGACTTTACTGATGATTTAGAATGTATCCAGACTCAACGTAAGAGCTTGTGCCTCTTCGGGGGGTGCTAACATTTAAACATACACTTTATTCTTTACTTTATCCGTCTTTATATGTAGATTAGAAGATATTACTTATCTCTGTCATGTTGTTTCCATAGTAACAACAACTTCCTGTCAACAGCGTAAACTCGCCTTCAAAATAAAAGCATCTAAATAAAACAGGAAGTGAACCTAAATTACATTTAAGACATACAACTGCAACGAAAGTAACAAAAACAATGTAATATCCTTTTCAGTTTCACAGAACACAAATTGGGTTGTTTACATAATATGTTTACACGATTTTGTTGTTAAATAAATGCAATCTCGATGTCATCGTACTCTAATACGATGGCTACACGATGGCATTGCGAGGGCTTCACGTAGTCGTGTTGCCTTCCTAAGACAATCGGGCAGCTTCTTGTTTCCTTCGTATTGTCTTCGTGAGGCGAAAAATGCCCGATGATCACACGAAGATGACACGATTTGACAAGATGCCCTCACGCTGGCCTTACGAAGGGCAAAATTGACACAAGAATTCAACACGAAAATGAACCTTCGTATGGTTCTTCGGGAATTTTTTGGCAAGCCAAAGATTTTGCCATCGCTCACGAAGTTGCTGCCGGAGCCTGAGAAACTCCACCGGCGGTCATATGATGGCTTTAGATGCTCTCACGAATGGCCCGATGTTGTTACGATCAGAGCTGAATTTGAACATTTGACAGGGGCTTGAAGACCCTGTCAAATCGTGTCATCTTCGTCTGGTGCCATCGGGCATTTTTCGCCTCACGAAGACAACACGAAGGAAACAAGAAGCTGCCCGATTGTCTTAGGAATGTAATTTAGGTTAACTTCCTGTTTAATTTAGATGCTTTTATTTTGAAGGCGAGTTTACGCTGTTGACAGGAAGTTGTTGTTGCTATGGAAACAACATGACAGAGATAAGTAATATCTTCTAATCTACATATAAAGACGGAGAAAGTAAAGAATAAAGTGTATGTTTAAATGTTAGCACCCCCCGAAGAGGCACAAGCTCTTACGTTGAGTCTGGATACATTCTAAATCATCAGTAAAGTCTACGACCATATTTTCCTGTGTGGTTTGGGTGCCATCGTGTGGCCTTCTGTAGGCATCGTACTTGCTTCGGCTGTTGCTTGGCTGTTGACCAACTTCGGGGCCATCTTCGTGCGAAATTCACAATTCCATATTCGTGTGTCCATCTGGTGTCAATTTCAGGACAGTGTGACGCAGGCTTAAGAAAATGCTGCTGTGGGGGAGGGAAGGAGGCCAAGGATTAACAAATATGCATTTTTTGCAGTCTGCTGATCATGTCCACTCTAAATGGTCAGCCAAATAGAAATAGTAAAAGTAACTAACAGGAGTTGAAAGTAAATGTATTACTTATTTAGACGTTTTAACCAATCTATGTCCACACAAAAACACTGAAAAGTTGACTTAAATTAAATCTATTATATCAATAGATTTCACATAACTGTATTAGGTTAGTTGAAAGCAATAATATTGAGTTGAACCTAATATTATTTATTTAAACTTGATATTATTGCTTTCAACTAACCTAATACATTTATGTGAAATCAGTTGACATAATACATTTGATTAAAAGTCAACGTTTGAGTGTTTTCACTGAAGGTTTCTGCTGATTTCTGTCCTGAATACACATTCAACCACTTAAATGATAGCAACAGTAATGAATGAGGCGACATGTTCTTTCCACATTCACCTTTATTTGAATTTTCATCGACTGAGGGGCTCTTCTAGAAGGCAGAAGCATGAGCCCACAGGTAACTTCACACATGAAGCAAAACACTGAAGGGAGTGAACCCGGAGACATGCGGCGCACAGGAGGACGCACAGTTTAGGAGCACAATATAGAAAACAAGAGAAATGACAGGCACACTTCACTTCCCATAATCCCTTTCAACATTTTGGAGTAGCCCCGTCATTCATTCTGGAATGAAGTGCAGGTCACATACAAGACAGATGGCAACTCTATTACTTAAATAACATTAGATACAAATAAAGCATTTGTTTTGAAATTGAAAATGTGAAAAACAGGTCTATTGGTGTGACAAAACCAAACAATATATATTGCCTTGTTAACTAATTTAAACAGAATGAAGATGGTGACAGGTGTTAGGTTGATGGGAAGAAAAAGTACCAACGTTTGAAGAAGTGAGACCACAAGACGTGTTTACTTTAACAACACAATGCAACTTGTGTTGGGAGATTTATATTTGAGCAGTTTGACACCAAATGAAATGAGTAACAAAGCATAACTTTCTTTGTTGAGGATACATGCACACTTCTCACTCTGGAAAGGAAGAACAGACCTCTCCTCTTTGATTCAAAATCCTCTTTTTAATTTAACTCCAAAACACACAGATAATTCCCCATACATATTTAACACTTTCATTTAACTATGTGCATTCCATTTATTCTGTGTGTACACTTTCATCTCTCATGCAAATAATCTTGATGTGCTTAACGGTTGATAAAATGGCATTTAGCTGCTTGGTTCAAACTGATGTCTTACATACTTGTCCCAACTTTGCAGATTCATCTGGTGATGTTGATTTAGGGTATTTATTTAAATGTTTTGTCAAAAATATGTTCTTGCCTTTATGATGTCAGACCTAGAGATGGCAATTTGTTCAGAATCAGTTGTCCATCCTTCTGCCAAATACTTTGAAATATATTTGAAATGGATCAATCACAATATGTTTGACCATAAAGAGTTCATCATCCATTTGTTGGCAGGTTTAAAAAACACAGAAACCTGGTTCATTATCTCACTTTGAACCACCATAGATGAACCTGGATCATTTGACTGTTTCATACTGTAAGAGTGCTCTATGTACCTTCAACAACAAGCAACAGGAAGGCTACCATACAAGGACTGTAGATAATATAAGTGGCACAACATGAAGGAACTACACCATGTGTTGATGTTTTGCCAGATGAACTGCATGTAAATGCAGCATACTGCCACTCTTTATTATCCTAATTATAAGGCGGCTTTGCATGCAGGGCACATTTGCCCATGTCTCACACTCCTGTCACATTTTTGCTCTGTTTGGGGTATCCTGGAAACTACAGTAATTTTCTCACATTTCAGTTTTAGTTCTGAGGAATAACAGCTTGATGAGCCTACAGAGATAGTTTCTAAACAGCCGTGCGTGTCACAGGTGTTTATGGACACAAATGGTGTTTTTCTTGTATAAAGTCAGACAGAACTGTGGAACCATTACATGAATGAAAAACTGAAACAGCAAATAATCATGGAGCTCATGGAAAGGCTGTTTGGATTCCTAGGCAGTATGCTGCTCACCCTCTTTTCTTATAGTTTTCAGGACCTTTGATTTAGTTAACATTGTCCTCTTCGTCACTGTCCTTCATTGAAACGCCTTGCATCCCCCCCTCCCTCACTGAGGCCGTGGCCTCTTCCAAGGTCAGCCGGTTCCTCACTGTGTCATACATCTTACTGTTCAGCGTGGAGTCCAGCACCCCTTGAAGACGAAAGTCACGGTACTTTTTCTATCACAAACAAAACAATCAGAAAGATTCACCGCATCAGAAAAGCAATGCATGGTAATATTTTATTTAACTGGTGTATCAATTTGTTTGTATACTAAATGATTTGAATCAGGAAATATAAACAGATCAAGCCTGAAGAAGGACAGAACTGGGAAGACCCTGAAACTGCACACAATTAAAAAAACTATGGTTGAGATTTAAAGAAATTATTGCTATATCCGGACAACATTTACAAGATATATTTGATTGATTGTTGATCAAAAAGAAACAATTAATACCTCCTAATAAAGAATTAAAATAAAAATGCTCTCTGTCTCAAAGTCAAGAGGCCCTATTATGCTTTTTGGGGTTTTCCTTTTGTGTTCTATGGGATTTTACGTAAATGGTCTGCAAAGGCAAAAGTCCCAAAGTTCACGACAGGGAGATTCTCTCACATAAACTCCCCCCCTGCTTGAAACGCCTCTAATGGACTCCTTATCTTCTTCCGTAACTTTGTTGGGACCTTTATTTGGAAATGCTTATGGACTACCAAAGGAAAAGGAGTTGAGAAACAACTAGCTGAAATACATTTGTACCACTTTTCCACAGGACTGCTTCCTAAACCACGCACAGTTCACGGTCGATTGGATAGTTCCCACTTTGTTATGTGGAGCTGTTTTGGAAGTTGAGTTGCAAACACAGCACTAGCCTCAGCCATGTTGCTAGCTAACGCTATTAAGATACAACTATTTTGTTTATAGACTGTATGCCCACCAACAATACCTACAATTGTGTAGAAATATAGAGATCTTTATTTTTAGTTCACAACACGCTGAAACGTGTTCAAGTGTTGAGGTGTGTTTATGAAGTTCTAATATTACGGTCGTTATCAGCTTTAGCTTGGCTGTATTGCCAGTTAGCTGGATTAAAACTATCTCTGGTCCCTGTAAGTGTTAATGTCAATCTGGTGATTAAAAGTCACATTTTGTGAATGTATAATGTCTGAAACTAAATTATGATATAGCTTCTACTGGGGGTTTAAGTGTGGAGCTTTTGGAAGTTAAGTTGCAAACACAGTGGAGCACGCTCGTGAGCTGTTAGTTTGCCGGAGCCTCACAGCAGGGTCATTGCATTTGCACATTCGATGTATTGCGCCGCATTTGCGCATCAGATGAGGCCCCACGCAGTCTGCGTGATCTGCGTGTAGGGAGGGGCGGCACTGCATATGTGACTGTTTTTTAATATGACTTTGAGCCGATTGCAAATCTGCATGTTTTAATATGACTTTGAGCCGATTGCAAATCTGCGTGACTACAGTGTCCGCGGATGTGTTAAAAGCATGTTCAGCACAGGCCTTAAATCTCCTGAGAGCTGAAGAAAATCTGCGTTGTGTATTTTTGTAAGTTTGTACATAATTATGTGGGTAAAGCAGCAATGACAAGTTGAGATATAGGTTGAATTATTATTGCCTTAAGATATGTGGTGTAGAAAGGTACATGTAGTAGTAAAGTCTTTACCTTGACAATCCGAATGAGTATCTTCAGCTGATAAAGGTGGAGCTGCAGGTCCATACGGTCAGTCAGCCATGTTCCTAGCAGGTTCATTGTGCTGGTGTACCATTGCTGTAGAAACACAAGCATAGAGGACAATTGTCTAATACTCCAAGAAACAAGAAACTTAACATATCACACACACGTAAAACAACATTTCAACACGTTTTCGAAAGGTCCTTACACACCAAACTGACACCAAAGAACACGTCCCGACGGAACGTCGCCTCACGTCTCCTGCGTCTCGGCCATGTTTCGCACACACCGCAAAGACTTCAGCCGACGGCCAAGAAGCACGTACGAACTGTGCATGCGTGAGTGGCAATAACTCTCCTTACCAGCAGGGGGCGGTAGTGTGTATTCGTCATTCAAAAGAGGCAACAACCGGAAGACAGACTGCGTGATAACCGAGAGAAGTAGAAAAGACTGCGTGATATAAACAAACAACAAATCCATTTTCACTCTACAGCGAGAAGCTCACGGGGCTTTCCCGAACCTGTCGAGAGCTGGAGTTAAATGAAATCTCAGATTTGCCTTCTTAATACAGTGGCGGCACGGCGGTGCAGTAGACACCAATCTGAGTAGGGCGACAAGACGCTCATCGACGGCCTGACATCTATCGACGCCGAAAATCGGCTAGGTGTGTCAGGACCTTTATGGATCATTTAGGCAGAGTCCAGAGGGACAAAGTTGACAAACCCATCCTCAGCAGACCGACGTGTCCCATCTGAAGATGTTCATGAACAGCCTCATCAGGCCATTAGAAAATGACAATCAGCACAGAGCAGGCACTTCTCCCTGGCAGGGGGTCTGCTGCCATTCAGCAATGCCCCCACAATCTTGCCGGCAAAGTTTAGGAAACAGTCGTACTACTTGTCATGTGGGATGCCATTAGATATCCCTGTAGGCTTAGAATTAATTAACATCTGGAACGTAGATCCCGGGAAGATCCATCAACCATTGAGGCGTCAGTTAATGGGGATCCTAACGAAAAGGGAGGCACCGCTTATGATGCTCTTGGTGCACTGTGCAGCAAGTTCAGCCATGGGTACTTGTCAAATTCCATGAAACAAATATTTTAAATGTCAGTTGAGCAGTATGTTCCAGGCTGTGCTGCCCTTTAGTGTTGCCGTCTCACTCTTCAATCTGGAGGACAGAAAGGTGAGGGATTCTGGGCTTGTGTACACAACAAATGAATCCCAGTAACGTCTCATTCAGATACAGAACTGCTAAGGAAACATAGCCAGTGGCAGTTCTGGGTTGGACCTTACAGTGTTCCCAAACAGACTGGACCTATTATGTGCCAGACATGTTTGTCCGTTTTTTAATCTTTTCTTAATTTGTATTTCGTTTTTAGCACGCTTGTGATGTTTACATAGATTATTCTGTTTTGCAGTAATGTATAGGAACTATCTTTTTTTCAAAGCTCTAAAGTATTATACAAATGTTTCACTCCACAAACTTGGGAACAAATTTAAACTTATTTCCCAACATTACAGATGGATAACCAACTTCAAAAAAATCATAAGCCAAAAAATATGTTAACAACGCATGTTCAAAACTTTTTAGTTTCACCTGAGAAAGTGTCCATTGCTGTGCTAGTTCCCGCATGTTTTGGTTTCTGTCTTTGCAGCGTGTTGCTGTATTTTGTTGGGTCCTCTATATTGGCAACATTTGCTTTTCAATGCAATTAACACAAGTCAGTACTCACAAAGTACTGAAGAACCACTTGTGACTACCGTTTACATAGGTATATCAAGCTTCAACCTTGAAAATCTGCCACTGCTTTATTTAGAGAAGCCTTCCCTCACAGTGACCTCTGCAGAAACAGAGCCTAAAGGCTGCAGATGTTTCTCTGTGGGCCCTGACTGTTGCCAGTCTAATTGATGGATAATGATGAGCGGGGCTGATACTAATAGAAGTCGACTGACTTTCAACAGTCAGGGTCACAGCAGAATGGATGGGGGGCTGGCTAAGAATGGGAAGAGACATGTAGAGGAAGGGGGTAGCAGTGTGTTTACTGTATGTCTGTGTGTTTGAAACAGATGTCATGCCATGGGGTGAATTGTACAACATAGATTTTATCCTTGAACGTTTACTCTTTATATCTTAATGATTAAATATGAGCTTTAGTCAAATAAATAAACACATGAGTACTATGAGAAAACAAAGTACTAAAAACAAACTGTCCCAACAGGTTTTTACTTGAACCTTTACTTGTACTGTGATGTTACCTTTGAACCTGTGCATGCAGTGGCCTAGCCTAACATGGTGAAAGAAATACTGTCAGGTAAGATAACACTGCTACGCTCAGCTAACGTGGGGCTAAGACAGGGACTGTGTTGTTCCGACAGATTAATTTACCTCAATCGACTACGTTATGTATGCATTGTGGTTGCTTGTGGAGATGGCAGTTGATGGACACCAACATAACTTGTAGGTGTATTTGTTGAAGCCTTAACTTTTAAATACTTACCCAACTGTATTTATTTGTAGGAACTTTCATAACCATTTACGCAAGTTACTACAAATTAACCTCAGATCAAATTGGCTGCAATTCGGCCAGGATCCAATGGCCCCTTCCCCACTTCCTAACCCTGTACTCCTGGGCCCTTTGCTCAGACCACACAAATCTTATCAGGGTTTAACTACTGTATGCGGCATGTTAAGAATTTGTGTGGAAATACTAGACCAAGAGACACAATGACAGTCTCAATAGGCTCTGTGCACAAGATGGCGTCTATCAACTTCCGGCGGCTGGGTGTGCGGCTGAGTACTTCCGGTTTGAGTACAGAGTTTTGACAGCTTGACAGTTTGTCATGTCACACCGAGAGCAAGAATGAGCAGATTTCGGGGTAAAGAAAAGCGATTGGCCTTCCAGCGTGTAAGAAAGTCGGCACTACATTGCTTAGTGTTGAATATCTTACATGCGTTAAAAGTACTAAGTTATAATATAATAAACAATGTGCAAAAAAAAAGATAAAAAGTTACATAATTTTCAAAAATACAGATAAAAAACAAATCAAATCTACAAATCAAATCCTGTAGCAGTTCTTAGGATTTAGTAGCCCGGTATATATTACAGTTATTAAAGATGGCATATGTATATAAAGTAGCCTATATATTGCACATAAAGCACATATTGCACATAGTTTGACGGTATTTAACAGCAGCAAGTTACACAATGTTATAATCGGGAGATAAGTTTCCATTCATTTGGGCAAGCCTGGGCAACAACGATTAAAAGATTTCTTGCTCCCAAAGCAATTGTGTATTTCATTACAAAAAGCAGTTATACCATACTATGTTTAGGTACTAATGAATTATATCCTCAAAACAAACGCACACATAAATAACAAAGGAAAATACATAATTTAATAAATCCACAATATGATAACATTTTACAGATTAATTTAATAAACTTTTACAAAACATAGGTTGATGTTATATCGGGGGGAAAAATACATATTTAAACATTTCAATTAGTCTCTGCATATTTAAGTAATGCTAGTTTATATAACAGATGAACAGATGTACAATATCCAGAAAGTAGATGCAAAAAATATATATAATGTGTTTCCAACATATCCTCTGAAAGAGTGTTAGTCGTTGAGTTGAGTAGTGAGCCATTCGTTTTTTTTTCGTGGTGCGATGTCTGCTGAGAAGTCCTTGTATGCCTCGCTGACTTTGAGGACATCTGGGTCTGGCAGCTCCCCCCGCACGGCCTTGTAACGTGTACTCCTTTGAACATGTTTATATGATAATTAGGACTTTAAGAACAATTTTACACTCAGACAACAATCACAAAGTTGTAGCAGGCTACATACAATTACTTAGGACAATAGATATGACCTTACACCGTCAGCAACTGTAAACTGCTTTGGCTTAGTGGAAATGAACACCATGTCACTCACTCTGCCTGGTTTCACACCCTATTAATTACACAAAATAATTGTCAAATTAATTGAAAAGGTCGTTGATGCAACATACTAAATCAGCTCTTGGCACAAAGGAAATACTCATTAAACCGTGGATTGGTTGTGAACACATACTGTACTTACCATGGTTCTTGGCTTGTGCCATCGCTGCTGTGTTTCAGTGCAGCTGAGGACAGGGGGGACAGCAGCCAGGTTGAGTGTGGAGTAGTGTCTGTACTGTCTGGAACAGCAGTGCAACATTGCAACCCAGTCTCATGGCATTTCGTGTTCACAACACGATTTGTAATCTATTGATTCGTGTTCACCAACACGATTTTCCCCTTTTTGTCGTGTTGCACAGCACGATTTTAAAAGCAATGTATTTCTACTGGTAATGTGTTTCGTGCCTGCAGCACGTTTTTTTCTCCGGTCGGGTCGTGGAAGACCGGAAGCTGTGTGGTTCATAAAAACATGTTCTTACTCAATATCAAGCCACAATTATTGCTTTTATTTTAAATCGTATAATTTCGGACTTTTGTTGCCGTCTGTGAGGAAAATAAATGGGGCTCAGAGCCTCAGAATACTGAAATCTGTATTTTTCAATCTTTTTTTCCTTCTAATTTGTTATTCTTTTCTAAATAACACACTGTTATTTACTCACCAATAACACACAATTATCCTTGCTTTTATTTATTGGTTTAATTCCATAATCTCGGGCTTTTTTGGCGTCCGTCAGGAACTGAATTTCAAAATAAAAATAACCGGAAACAGACGTAGGCATTTCGAGCGATTACCCAGGATCCTCAGCTATGGTTTAAGCTCGATTATTGGATGTTTTAGCCGCAATGCATGCTGGGATTTGGTATTTATATGATATGAAATCCGGAAAACATTTAAAAAGAATAAAATAATACTTAATTCCGAGTGTTCTTGCTTTTCTCTTTGAAAGTCATCACATAACGGCATTGTAATACACGGTTTGGCTGCATTACATATTACAGATCTGCCGTAGTTCTTTATTTATAGAGCCCTGATGAGAAGACTTCTGGACAAACAGGAAGAACTGCCGCCGAAACTGAATACTTGACGTGGATCATAAATATATCAACAATTAAACAACATCTTCCATTTCTCTTCACACAATACGTCTCCTTG